AAGGAGGAAAAGCATTAGCAAGTGCACTTTGCAAGAACAATACGCTGAAAGAATTGCGGATTTACATTTATGTATATTATAATTTTATGATTTAATTTATAAAATATTTTTACATTCTCGAGTCCTCAACATGAACGAATACCATATGTTTCTTCAAATTTGGTAAACATTAAATATGATAAAATTTAACTTATTTATTATGCTTAAATCTGACTGCATGTTTTGTTTTATCTTATTTAGCAACTGCCTCTACACCATATTTAGGAAATCAATCCTTTTTTCGATAGGTTGCACGTCGACTACGATTATAACCGAAGAGGAAAAATTGTAATTTTATATTATAAAATTAAATTACTAATATTTTATGATTAATATTCAAATTTACTAATAATAATTTTTTATATTCAAATGCAATCATTCAGTATTTTAACTTTTTTGGATGTTTTCGGTTTTGTTGGCGGGTTATTTACATTGGCCACTTCAATTAATATACTTCTATTTGTTAAGTTACTGTATTGGATTATTCTACTATATAACTTATACTATAATATTACAGAGTTGAATACCAAAAAAAAATAATAAACTTTTAAATAGGCAAAACCACTAAAAATCCATGGGGAATTGTATAATCACTTCCCTGCTGTGGAATCAGAAAAAGAGTTCGAAACATTCTCTATGATTATCTGAAAGATCAGATCCTCCTAAAAAAGTTGAAGATAGATTAAAGGCAATCGAACAACGGCATAAAGCTTTAGAATTTCTTCTTCAATATTATGTGGTTAATGCTAACATTCTTTTTGATAAGGATGTTAACAACAAATTTTATAAATATTCAAAAATCAAAAATGATAAATTATTAAACATCGAAGAATTAGAATAAACAAAACAATTAAAAATCTATAGCGTTTTATTCTACAATTTCATAAGAAATTATTATAAGTTTCTTGTTATTTTCTGGTCCTCTTTATTATCGCTTTTTTATGAGCTAAGCCTTAATGATTAATTATTTTTAAAGATTTCTTTAAATCTTACGATAAATGAATATAGCAAATATTGATTGTATTCATTTTTTTTATATTATGCCGCGTGTATATTTATATATCAACATTTAAATTAAAATAATTCTTTACTTAATAAAATTACTACTTCAGTTACCACATAGTTCTTTAGGCATCTTCAAATTATGAAAGTGCTGTAATGTAATCCTAGATCGTTTAAAATACTGTCTCTTGAAAACTTGGCAAAGGGAAACTCATCATTTATGATTTCGGCCATTGTCATTTTAGATAACCCATCACCGTTACCCGTACATATTCTTTGCACTGTCTTACAAATCATTTATAGTAATATTTATATAACTTTAGATTATTTCTCCGATACTTTTAGAAGGAACTTTTAACTGCTGCGTCCCATAGTCAGTAAGTATAAAGGAAATATGTACGTACTGTGCGTACGATAAACATATTTTTAGACATACATAAATCATGGTAAATTCACCAGGAGAATAACTTGAGAAAGCTATTGAATATAAATAATTTAAGATTCCCAAAAAATTGGCATTGGAGAATTTTAAAGGTTTTTAAATACGAATGGAAAGACAATGATTTAACGGTTACTCTTAAATGTCCTAAAATCGATACAGTTAAAAAATTTACTATATTAATACTTGATCCATTTCTGGTATAATTATATTTTTACAACAATAATCTAAAATGAAGTTTATTATCATCTAAATATTATTAAATTCTATCTGGTCACGAAAGGTATATATACGATTCATTTTTTCTAAATATGAAATAAGAAATATTTTAATCTATAGTTAGGATTGTAAAGTTACACTATAGCTTACAAAATAACTTACATGATGTTGAAAATTTTGATTAGGTAAACATATAAAATTGCTTGTAAGTTATATCGTAAGTTACATCAAAATTTTGAAATTTAATGTAAATTTACAACCATATCTATAGTATCATGTATTAATTACAATAAACAGATACAATAATGGATATTATAATATGGAAATTAGCGAGAATATTTGAAAGCGAATTTCACAAGACTACGATGGACGGAATCTAAAAATTTAAAAGTAAATATTTTATCGACTAAAATTGAACATACTATAATAAGTGCAAATTATTTACCATGATACTCTAACAATTTTACAGATGAAATAATGAAGAATTAATTTGCTTAGGAAGGTTTTTAAAGTTCGGCAGGTTACTTGTAAGTTTGTCTTTAGGGCAATTTGACAATTCGGTTGATAGCATTGGAATAATTGCATCTGCTGACTGGAATGCTTTTAATTTTGCTAATTCATTTTCGTTTTTCGCACTACTATCATTAAATATCTGATACTATTTCGATAATTCATTATGGATATCGTCTTTATCTTTCGCACTACTATTATTTAATATCTGATACCATCCTATTATGAATATCAGATGCAGTGGGTCTATTAGAAGGATTATCATCTATAGATTTATTCGCTAATTGAATATAATATTCTGGAGTGCCTTTAGCAAATTCAGGATGTAATCCATTGCATATTTGGATAACTAATCTTTCATCATACTCAACATCATAATGAAGTAATGAAGAAAGTAGTTAAAACACAACTACCCATGCATTCAAAGATATATGGTTTTGCTAGATACAATATTTCCAGTTGAATAATTTGCTTTCAGAACTTGTAATTTGTAATAAATGTTTTTATAACATGTATTTTGAATTATATTTGCTTTGCGTGACTCTCTATTTGAAGTATATTTGATTTGTAACTCTCAATTTACAAAACTTTCAATAAATTCATTGTCGTGATTCAAATTAATCGAATAAAACTCGAATAAATATTTTGATCGAATGATTCGAACACTCTTCTGGATCTAATTCACGAATCACATTTAATACGAGTCCAGTCACTACTGGTATTATGTAATAATTAAATGTAATTTATTAATATTTTTGCTTTGTTATTTATAATAATAATAATATATATATTTGTTGTTTTAGTTTATTTTAAAGCAATCTTTCATTCTCTATTTACGAATAAAACGGTCAAATTAAAGGTATAAAATTATTTATTGATACTTTATTATTTATTTTCTCACTTTATTTTGCGTCGTTACCTCTTAAATTACATGATAATTACATTTAAATTTATATTTGTATTATGTACATTTATTGATATATTTTGATATTCGGATTATTAGATTTTATAATAAAACCAATATTGTTATCGTAAATCCGCAATTCTTTCAGCGTATTGTTCTTGCAAAGTGCACTTGCTAATGCTTTTCCTCCTTCTAATCCAAGATTATTCCCACCAAGAATTAAAGAAGTCAGCGTGGTATTCTTACAAAGTGCATCGGCTAATGCTTTTCCTCCTTCTGATCTAAAATTATTCTCGTGAAGATATAAGGAAGTTAGTGTAGAGTTTTTGCAAAGTGCATCTTTTAATGCTTTTCCGACATCTGATCCAAGATTATTTAAACCAAGACCCAAAAAAGTCAATGTGGTGTTCTTGCAAAGTGCATCAGCAAATGCTTTTCCTCCTTCTGATCCAAGGTTATTGTTGTAAAGATCTAAAAAAGTTAAGGTGGTGTTCTTGCAAAGTGCATCAGCTAATGCCTTTCCTCCTTCTGATCCAAGTTTATTCTTGCATAAGTCTAAGGACGTTAGGGTGGTGTTCTTGCAAAGTGCGCCAGCTAACGCTTTTCCACCTTCTGGTCCAAGATTATTACCATAAAGCTTTAAAGAAATAAGTGTTGAGTTCATGCTAAGTGCATTTGCTAATGCTCTTCCGACGTCTGATCCAAGATTATTCTTGCTAAGATTCAAAGAAATTATTGTAGAATTCTTGTAAAGTGCTTTCATTAACTCGTTTATTTTTTCTGATCCACATTTCCAACGTAGATCCCAAGATGAAGCACGTTTTTGATCCTCATTATTGTGGTTGCTGTTCTTGAGAATTTCTTCATAAAGTTCTAATGCTTTGAGAAATTTGCCTTGCCAAAAATATTGTCCTGCGTCGAAATGTTTGTATCAGCCAAATAAAATGGAGATGAAGTTGAATTTACAGGTGCGGTTGGATTATCTTGACAACTTGAGGAAGTATCGCTATTTTGAGTAGATACTCCAACAGGATGATCAAACAAATAAAGAGGTGATGAAGTGGTAATATCGTGTAATTCAACGGATACGTTTGGATTATTTTGACGACTTGAGGAACTATCGCTATCTTGAGTCGATGCAACAATGGGATGGTGTTGATTCAAAGTTTCGTCAGGATTAAGTTGTTTCAAAGTATCGAGGACTAATTTTGTTTCTGGACGATTGGCAGGATCGTTGTCCCAACATCGACTGTAAAGTTCAATATACTGAGGTGGTGTACCTTCTATCGGTTTTTCTCTATTTCCTTGGATAATGTTATAATAAATCATTCCGTCTGTTAAATTCTCAAATGGTGGCTTTCCGCTCGAAATTTCCCAAAGGATTACTCCAGCGCTATAGATATCCGACCTTTTATCACGTTTATACCCTTGCTTATAAAGGCACTGAGGTTCGATATATGCCGGCATCCCACGAACAACTGAGTTTGAAGTCATAGACGTCTCATTTATTTGTTTTGATAATCCAAAATCCGCGATCTTTGGTTGTTTTTGGTGAATTAAGATATTTTTCGAATGCTATGAAAATATATCGGAACTTTAGTTGTTATAAATAAAACTCATAAACGTATAAAAATAATATACTTACAAGATCTCTATGAATAATATTGTTATCGTATAAGAACAAAAGACCACGCACCACTTCCTTGGCAATCTGTAGTTTGTCTGCCCATTGTAATCTTGCGAAATTCGCTTTCAAATATTCCCGTAAATTTCCGTCATTAGCATATTGTAAAACCATATTATAATATCCGTTATTATCTATTTTTATAGTTCATTATATTTCAAAACATTTATTAATTTACATTTAAAAAATATCAAACTATATATGCATACCTTTCGTAACCCCAAAGAATTTAATAATATTCGGATGGTAACCGACTTTTAATAATAGCTTAAGCTTTTCATATCAAAGATAGAAATTTAATATTACACTAGGAAATAATGCAAGTAGTAATGTAATAAATACCTCTTTAATAAAATCTTTAATAAT